AAATTATTCCAGACATTCTTTTTTATTGTAGTCGCATTACCAGGGACCTGCACGATAAAGAGTTGCGAGTGACCCGGATTGATTGCAAGTGACCCGGATTGATCACCAGTCCTCCAATAAATCGCAAACTTACAAACTCCTATCCCTTTGGGTTTTGGAACAGAGTTGCGATTGATATCAAGTCTCAACCGATGTGAATCGGTCGCAACTGTTTATCAGACGACGCCCAGTCAACTTTATCTTTAAAGAACCGTAATTTGCATTATCGATGAACATGACATTCTTGCACAGAGGTCGGCTTTGCGATGCGGACTAAGGCTGATTAAAGACCGGGGGAGAGGATCGATGGGGGAAATAGAAAGGGAATGATTTTGAAAGTGCAGTAGAACTTTTAACTTCAACATAATGAAGGTCAAAACTCACAAGAACAAAAAAGGAACCCTTTTTTCATGGGTTAGAAGGTTAAGAAGGACGGTAACCCTCTGAAGGAGAAGGACATTTATTGTTAAAGGGCACACAGTCATCGGTTGGAATTCACATGCTTTTATAAAGGATAACTGATTATAACAGAAGGCCAATTCTGAAGATTTACCGTATATATCCTCCAGGGTAAAACAAAAAAACACCTGAACACCTTTGTAAAACAAAGGATGGTGATGACGAGAAATAGGAGTAGGGGGGGGGGGGGGTTGAAGATACGGTTGATGCTAATGATGTTGATGATGATGATGATAATAGTGATAATGATTGTTGTGATGAAGATGGTGATGATAGTGATTATAATGCTAAGAAAGTTATACAGTTAACATCGAGTTGTCCAGAGTTACAGAGTGACATATTAAAGCTTACATCTGAAATTATTAATTGAGGGCCCTAATTCAACCAGTCCCTTTCATTCTTGAGTTGCGAAAAACAAAAACAAAAACATTTAATGTACAAAGGACATGAATAATATAGTTATGAACTGTATAATGATGGTGATAAGTATGATGATGAAATGATGATGATATAAAGAAGAAGATGACGATGATGATAATAATGATGATATAGATGATTGTAATGATGATGATAACATGGTGATGATGATAATGTTGCCAATGATGATCGTAATGATGACAATGGTAACACAAATTAATAATGACTATGATGATGGTGATAAAAATGATGATGGTGATGATGATGATGATGATGATGATAATGATGTTGATGATGATGCTGATGATGATGACGACGATGATGATGATCATGATGATGATGATGGCGACAATGATAATGATAGTGGTGATGAGCATGACGACGACTTTATTGGCTTAACTGATGCAGAGTAAAAGGTCAAAAGTTGAGACTGAGCTGGGAGCACCTGAAAATCTCGTTTCAAATTTGAAACAGGAGACCATCATCAAGAAATGAGTAACAAACGACGTACGTTAAACATGATCAAGATTATGGAATTGCACGACCACGTTGAAGTACTTCGTATTGAAATTCACACCGTCACATTTTCGTTAAACACCAAATTGGACGGATTGATTGGCGAGGCATGTGATGGAAACCACAATACCTCGAAAATGTGCTGCTTTGATTTTCGAAAGCTCATATCTTTGAACCCCCGGGCCATTTTTCTTCTCGATCTGCATTTCCGAAAACATCCGGACTTTTTAACACTCGACAGCCCTGGCAGGGTATTTATGGTTGGTTTATGTTTTCACGATGCCCGCCCAGCGGAGATAGCGATAACACGACGGGTGGAGTGAATAGTACACGATCGGGTGAGGTGCATTACGGATGATGCGAGAAAGGTGTGAGAGACGGAGAGAGAGAGAGAGAGAGAGAGAGAGAGAGAGAGAGAGAGAGAGAGAGAGATTGAGAGGCGGATTAATAGCGGAAGAAGGGTGGAAATAAGAGAGAGAGAGAGAGAGAGAGGGAGAGAGATTGAGAGAGGGGAGATTAAAAACAAATGTTTGGGTGTGTGCGTGTGTGAGGGTTGGTTGGTTGTGGTTGTTAATTTACCTGACTGCTAGGAAAGCATAAATGCTTGTAAGTAAGCAACCAGACGGCCGACGGCTTTAGGGTCCTCTCCGAGGGACCTGGTAATGAGGATTAATGCCTAACCAAAGGGCACTAGCGCATCGACTTGGTTTCGAACCCGGGTCACCGGATTACGAGACCACTGCTCTACCGACTGAGCTATCGCGCCTCGGTGTGTGCGTGCGTGTGTGCGTGGAAAGTGAGAAGGGGAGGGTGGTGAAAGAAAAAGGGTATTGAAAAAAAAAGGAAGAGAGGGGGAGAAAATTTTGTGTGCGTGTGTGTGTGTGGAAAGAGGAGGGATTGAGAAAGGAAGGGGTATGGGAAACAATGAAGTAGGATAGCGAGAGAGGTGAATAAGATTAGTATGCGTGTGTGCGTTTGTAGCCGGATGATCGTGCGTGTGGGTGAGTATGGGTGCATGTGGATGTAAAAGAAGGGACAAGAAAGTGAAGGAGAGTGAAAATAAAAGAAATATATTTTTAAAAGAACAGGAAAATAAAGTGGAGCAAGTCCTTTGAGAACATTGCATAGAAATTGAAAGTAAGTGCCGGCGTGAAAAGGAAAATAAGGGGGTATAGAGGCAGAGAAAAGAGGTGGACAGTGAATTTGAGATCTGTAAATGATTCAAAACAAATCACTTTCTAAAACAAAATTAATACATTATTCGCGTTTTATAACTCGGGTTGGATGATGCCAAATGATATTTTAAATCTGAATGCATTGACATAATTTAGGCCTACAATCAGTCTATTTTGGTGATAACTAATTCTTTCTAGGTCAGTGAAGTTTCTTTGAATCTTAATAAACGCACTATTAAGAATAAACTAGAAATATAATTTCGTTTCTGTCCAGTCCACAATCAACGACTTATTTCGTAAAGACAGAAAATCTAGAAGAAGAAAGCAACAAAGGTGGAAGTAAAAAATGATGCTGTTAATCGTCGATTCCACGAAGTTTATCTCCCAATTTCGTTGTTGATTTTATCGCGAAACGAAACCCGAAAAAGAGAATTAAAAGCAGATGCCCATCTCTTTCTCCGAAGCAAGAAAAGATACTTTCTCCGAAGGGGAAAACGAAACAATGAGAGCTGCGCTGAGGGAGAGAGAAACGGAGGGGGAAGAGGGAGAGCGCGAGTAAAAATGGATATCAACGTAATGGATACAGAGTCGCAATGGGGTTTTCTTTGAAGTATTGTTAATAGATAATAGACTCCCTTATGTGAAATAGACACGTAAGAAGTGTTTCTTAGAAGTGAGAGGGGGGGAGGGGGGACCTCGCATTTGCATTGTTCTTCGTAGGTCATGACCGATTCTGTGCTAATTTTCAAATGCAGTCTACTGCCCTGGGACGTCGGTTGACAAAGCCACCTGAAATAACTTGAAATCCAATACTTTTAACATCGCACTAGTTTTTGTCGGGAAATGTTGTATTTTCAAGCACAATTAAAATAAGAAAAGAAAGAAGTTTAGCTGATATCTTTCTTTATAATCCTGCAGTAGGTGGAATGACCGTGAGTTGTGACTTCAAGGAAAGATGCCTTTTATGCAAGTGTCATAATATTATTGAGTTTGACCGATGCATGTATTCCCATTTCTGTCTATAAGTCCATTACATTTATGACCCAACAAACACACAGCTAATGTCTTTCTTCTCTCTCTCTCTCTCTCTTCCTCTAATTTCTCGAGTTTTATATTTACATATATAGTTATGCATGCTTGTGCGTGTGTGTCTGTGTGTGTGCGTGTGGAAATTGAATTTAATAATATTCTTTATCTTGTATATTCATGTGCGATTCAATATATTGCTACAAAAGTATAACCCAATTTTAAATTTTAAATGAATTTAAAACTCTCTATCTCTCTAGCTCTTTCCTTCATTTCTCTTTATGTGCATACCTTTGATTTATATTCTTCAAATATCTCTTTCTCTAATACTCTCCTCTCCTATTTCGAGTCCTTTCTCTCTCTCTCTCTCTCTCCTCTTTCTTTCTTGATTCGTGTATACATCTACCATCTTCTTCTTTTACTGCTATTCATTTGTGTTTTTCCAATATATTTCACATTTTCACAATGCAACAACTCTTCTCATTCTCTTGTATCCACTTCCCCACCAACATTACACTACAAAATAAATTAAGTGTTAAACAGGCATATCAGAATTGTACACATTTTAATGGCCCGTTTTACAGATCATTTTACAAAAAATACACCATCTACATACATATCCTGCATGCTACACTTATCCACCAAACATAACAACAACATAACAAAAAAAAAAACAAAAAAAAAATTAAAAAGCCGACCGTAGATTGCAAGATTTTTGGGTCGTTCGCAAAGGGCAATACAAAATTTGTGTTAAAGGCCTTATTAAACAGAATGTGACACTTAATATGGCAAAGACATTGAAAATCCTACATATTGCATGACACAAAAATCCATTGCTTGAGGACTGACATATCAACTATTAAAGAGCATGCTTTCTGGAATATTGAATGATGAAATATTATGTTAAGCATGCATATACTTAGTGGTTTAAGTTTTGGAGGGTTTTGAAAGCTACATTAAGTGACATACATGTACATATGAAAACATAAAGGATGAATTAAATAACTTGGACAGTTAAATAAATGCAAAGAATATCATTTGCCATGCTGAATGGGGACTGACAGGGAAAAAAGGTTAACAGTTATTTTAAGAAATATTATTGGCAAATGCAATCAGGAATTTTGAATGCAATAAAGTCATATCATGAACTAAGCCAAGAAAATTACCCCCCCCCCCCCTCCCCCTGTAATAATCTCCTGGAACATTGATATTAAAACAGCTTCTCATCTCTATAAAATACACATTTGCAAAGGAAAGTTAGAAAAGGAGATATCTTAGCTGTTCTCAAAGCATTGGGTATTTACTCCAGAAGAGCCTTCATGTTTTTAAAACTTTTTTATCAATTTTTTTCCATTTAATCTCAAATCATTTTCATTCACTTGTTTAAGTAATGCCAAGTGGCTTATTCTTTTTTTGAACATCAAAGAATTAAATTGCATAGCATTCTACAGTGAGTGAGCATATCTGTCAAGGTGAAATAAAACACATCAAAATATTAATAAATCTTAAGGAGAGATCAAATAATTCTTCGACATTACATAAAATATTTTCATGTTAACAGTTTTGGATAATGTTCAGAGACTTGTGACCACAATTTGTTCATGTTGCATCAATATACTTTTAAGCCCAAAATAATATAATACAAATTGTTACCAGAAAATCTAGAGCATCCCTAGTATCATGCTGTGTTGAAGGGCAACTGTCCTCGAAAAGTGGCCCTTTGTGACCTTTATCACATCATACATTTTTTTTTTAAACTGGAAAGTTTTGTTACATTATCAGGGGAAAATGTTTAGAATGGTCCTCAGGAAATTCCTAATTTTCTTGAAGGCAGACATTTCAAGATATTATCCGACAACCATTTCTTCTTCCTAATCATTACAATTTACTCTAACTCTCTACAAGTTGGAGAACCTGCTTTCTAACGGTAGTCTACTTGTATGCATTTTGTTCACCTCTGAATATGGACGGGCAAAATAACAACGCAAGAATTATTTTTTATAATATGTTTTGTAAATCCATGCAAAGTACATACAAAAGATAGGTGTGATGCAATCTATGCTGACGACATGCTTAAAATACACATTTTGGGGCAAAATCCATTGTAACAAAGTTCATAAACCATGGCTCAACATACCTATACATGCAGGTATACTTACAGTATAACATTTAGATTTCATCATTTAATATCTATCATGTTCATGCATCACATCAAAATGCCATAAGCAATTTATGGGGCTATCTTTACATTCTTGGAGGCAAATAAAGAAACTTGATGCCTACCTATATACTTCCATTTCTTGTTTACAACATTACCATACAAAACACTTTGTAATACAGGAAAATTGTAATAAATGCAGACAAGTTACAGAACATAACACTTTGGTTAAGAACAACATCTTTGGTACTAAGGCATTTTGTTACAGTGGCTTTTTTTAAGGGGTATTTGCCAGTACAATCTGATTTTCTGAAGGAAAGCACAGTATAATTATTATTATAAAACAATATGATCACCACAGCACCTTGCATGAAACATTATATGATTACGTAGAGAATGAACTTGAGATATTATTTGATGATGCATTAAATTTACTTTAAATATGGTATGCCAGTTACCAATTATAGATAGTGGTTACAATTAGGCGAAGGCAACGGATGAAATGAATCAAAATACCTCAACTTTAAAAGAAAGGGAAAAGTACATGAAGAGATCCCCTACACATTTATGGCATACAGTAATAATGCAGAAAGACTGAAATATGATTACACTAAGCCTCACATTTTGCATATCTGGTACATCAAACTATCTTTGATAGAATGTACTCTCAAATATATACAATATTTTGTCCTATTCAGGGTTATAGTCATAGCCACAAAGAGAGAGTGTGTGTGTGTGTATGAGAGAGAGAGAGAGAGAGAGAAAACCCAGCATAGTTTGATTGGATGACAGTAAAAGGTTAACCACTAAACCACTCTGACAAGTAATCCAAGTGTTCCAAGAATGATTTTTTGGCTGGGTTTTCTTGGTGTTCATCCAGCTGGCACAATTGTCTGTCTGTCTGTCCATCTGTCTTGTTGCAGAAAAAAATAGGTTGATTGAACAACGGTGAAGGGCTTATCTCCAAACCACTTTGAAAAGCTTTAAAACTTTATGTTCAAGTGTTGCAAAGAAATTTCATAAGAAGGTGTAGATAGTGTTCATTTATCTATATCTTTTTTCTATTGATCTGTCTGTCTTTTTGAAGGAACCCAACTGTCAGAAAATTAGTTGTCTCAAGGATTAAACCACTTTGTTAAAACTACTATCCAAAAGAGGGTTTCCAATGTTTTGATCCTTTTGTCAATAAGTCTATCAGAGGGTTTCTTGTAGGTAAACCCACCTCCAGAAGGAGAACTTGGTTGAATCAGATTATAACTCCCAGCCACTTTGTCCAGTGTATCAGGTCAAAGATGAATTCCATAACAGAGGGTTTTCATTGTGTTCACCCTTCTGTCTATTGGACTGACGGAGGGATAGTTGAAGGACCCCCGACCAGAAGAGGTTGAGCGGACCAGAGCTAAACTCCTAGCCAGTCTAGTGTTCTAAATGAAGGTCAATGATAACTTCACACTGTTTATATCCTTCTGCCTATCAGCCCGCCAGAAAGTTTCTTGTAGGTAAACCAGCAACCACCAGAAGAGCTTGACTGAACCGGATTATAACTCCAAGCAGCTCAGTCTGAAGTTCCGACTCAAAGAAGAATTCCATAACAGAGGGTCCCCGCTGTATTCATTCATCTGTCTATCCATCAATCTAAGTGTTTGTAGAAGGAACCGGACTACTACGTCAAGAGGTTCACTGGATCGGAGTTAAACTCCTAGCCACTTTGTTTAGTGTTCTAAGACAAAGAAGAACGCCTTAAAAAGGGTTTCCATAGTTCTCAACGTTCTGTCCTTTAGCGTAGCACAGATTTTTCTAAAGGAACAGGACTACCGGGAGGAGGAGTTTACCGGATCAAAGTTAAACTCCTAGCCACTTTGTTTAGTGTTCTAAGACAGAGAAGAACTCCTTAAAAAGGATTTCCATAGTTTTCATCCTTCTATCTATGAGTCTGTCAAAGGTTTTTCTGAAGGAACTCGACTACCAGGAGAAGAAGTTTAATGGATCATAGTTAAACTCCTAGCCACTTTCTTTAGTGTTCTAATGTTCTAAGACAGAGAAGAACTCCTTAAAAGGGTTTCCATAGTTTTCATCCTTAAGTCTGTCAAAGGTTTTTCTGAAGGAACCGGACTACTGGATCATAGTTAACCTCCTAGCCACTTTGTTTAGTGTTCTAAGACAAAGAAGAACCCCTTAAAAAGGGTTTCCATAGTTTTCATCCTTCTAACCGTCGGTCTGTCAAAGGTTTTGCTGAAGGAACAGGACTACCGGGAGAAGAAGCTTACTGGATCAGAGTTAAACTCCTAGCCACTTTGTGTAATGATCTAAGATGAAGACAAACGTCTTAAAAAGGGTTTTTTGATAGTTTTCATTCTTCTAACCATCAGTCTGGTTAAGGTTCTTCTGAAGAAACAGGACTACCAGGAAAAGGAGTTTACTGGATCAGACTCTGGATCATAGTTAAACTCCTAGCCACTTTGTTTAGGGTTCTAAGGCAAAGAAAAATCCCCTATAAAGGGTTTCCATAGTTTTCATTCTTCTGTCCATCAGTCTGTTAAAGGTTTTTCTGAAGGAAACGGACTACCGGAAGAGGAAGTTTACTGGATCAGAGTAAAATTCCTAGCCACTTTGTTTAGTGTTCTAAGACAGAGAAGAACTCCTTATAAAGGGTTTCCATAGCTTTCATCCTTCTGTCCATCAGTCTGTCAGAGGGTTTGCTGAAGGAACGCGGCTGCTGGAAGAAGAGCTTGATTGAAAGAAGGATTGAAGGATGCCATCACCGCCTGTAGTGACACCGTCAGCTCGAGTAACCTGCCAAGCAACAGAACATGGAAAGGATGTCAACTAAGAGTACAAAGTCACAATGAGTTCATGGGGGTGTTTCACAAAGATCCTAAGTCGAACTTAACTCTAAGTTGGACTTAGACATTATGGAGAGCCAATTGCAGCCCTAAAATAAAGTATATTCAAAAGCAAAAATTCATGTATTTTAGACTTTTTATAAAATCCACATCAAGAACATAAAATCTCCTTGATAACAGAAAACATGAATGATTTGAATCAACATTTTATGCCTTTTCAAATAAAATTTGCAAAATATTTTCATAGATGCTAACGCTTTCCATAATTATTTGTCCAACTTTAATAGAGATAAGTTCAACTTTTAGGATTTTGTGCAACACCCCCATATGATGTTGGATTGTAAACACATGAGTTCATTAGTAAATTTTGTTATTAACTCTTTATATGCCACAAAAATGATTTCCATACATGTGGCTCATTGTATTTATTATGGGATAGCTATACATGTACCAAAGGCTTCAAGAATATTGAGCTGTTTGCAGTACTGTGCCAGACTAATTATATTGTATATCAGTATCAAACAATTTCTATAAACAAGGCTATTTTCTTTCAAGAAGGTACTGTACCAAAATCAGGACACCTTAAAAATGATCACTATCATCTTCTCCTCCTTGGAATCATCATCCATCATTATTACCATCATCATCATCATCATCACCATCATCATCATCATCATCATCATCATCATCATCATCATCATCATCATCATCATCATCATCATCATCATCATCATCATCATCATCATCATCATCATCATCATCATCGTCTTCATCATCACTGGGCGCGTCTTCATCATCTCGAGATTGCCAAATAGCCCGCTATTTCTGATTCAGGAAATAATCCCGAAAGTACAAATCGCGTCCTCATCATTTCGAGATTCGACCTCGAAACTTGAAACTCGACCTTGAAGAATTAGCTCGAGATATTTTGCTCAGCGTTGGAGCATAGTGCGAGTCTTCGGTCTAGTGAAGACACACCGGACAAATAGCTGGATATTTTGCCGAATAGCGGGATATTTTGCAAACTATCCCAAGATATCTTGGGATGACAATCCAGACCAAATATCCCGCTAATTGCAACTTCGGGCTGATGAAGACGCAAATTAGCTGGATAGTTTGCGATCGGGATAGTTCGAATAGCGGGATATTTGGCCATCTCGAGCTAGTGAAAACAGGCCTACTGTACCGTCATCAGATATACTCTGCAAAGGTCATGAATACAATCTTATATTCTTCATGTTTATATAGCAAAGTGAATCAAAACAGTGAGGTTGGTGGCATATGTTATTGCCAATCATTCTATAGCCTAAATGAAGTACATATGAATTTCGAAAATGTACATGTAATTAAATAATGGCAGTGTGATAATGCAAGGTACTTTTGTGCGGGAAAGAAGGCCAACTTGAAAAAGATGCACAATTTGCAAGAAGTTACAATTTTGCAAAGGTTTCTTTCCACCATGGAATAATTAAATAGCAACTGGCACAAAACTATATTTTTGCAAATGAGCAAAAATTGATTGATGCCAACATGGCTGTAGTTTACAAAATATGAAAAAAAAACGCTATGTCTTGTAAGATTCTGGCTTTACAAAACACAACATATTCAATCACAAGTGTAATCAGTTAACGTAATTTTCTGTGCCTTCAGCGTTAATTTAAGAAGGAAGGGAATTTCCCAATGTTTTAATATGGATAGTGGGGAAGAGGGGGTGTAGCAGCATTCCTAATATAGAATATAATAGAACAATGAATTCTGATCTACAAAATCTTAATTTAAAAGGGATTAGCTTCATACATAGACAATTTTCATTTATCATATGAGATCCGTCTATTGTGGCTCTTTTATAATCCACATGAATTTCAATTAACAGAAACTAGTTCGTGACAGATACACTGAAACAGGAGAATTTCAATCCTTTCACTTTACCTTTAAAAAAAAAAGGGTTTTTGCCCCCAAAATGATAGCATTTACTAGTATCAAGGAATGCAGGTTACATCAAAGTATGAATAACACACAAATATATTACTCTATTTCCATATACTACTCTATTTCCGAAGGCATTATTTAGGTGATTTTTCCATTACTTGCTAGGTATGGGCCTTAAAATGGAAAAAAAAGGAGTGTAAAAACTAGTTCTCGGCATATTTCATGCTCTATATTCATGATCATACTATACAATTCTTGATAAAATTCCCTTAGGCATCACCATAAATTTGGATTACTTGAGTAATCTGGAACAGGAAAAACTAAGCTCATACATAAAAAGAGGATATCAGACATCCATGTATATGTAGTAACCAACCTTTACCTACTTCTATTTTTGACCGACTTTCATATATATCAGTCTCTTTCTTGTCCCCACTCCTCTCTCTTTCTCTTTCTATGTTCTCTTCATGTTTTCTCTCTCTCTCTCTCTTTCTCCCCGTCTTGGTCTCTAACCCTTTCTGCTCTCTCGCTTCTCTCTGACATCCTTTCTGCCCTCTTTCTCTAATCCCAATCTCTCTCTCTTTCTGTCCCCCTCTCTGTCCCTCCCTTCTCTCTTTATCTGATCTCTAGAGCTCTTTATCTTTCTCTCTCTCCCCCTCTCTCTCTCTCTCTCTCTCTCTCTCTATCTCTTTGCTCCCTCTTTACGCAACTCTCTCTGCTCTGCTCTCCTCTCCTCTCTTTCTTTTCAGTCCTTTTTTCTTTTCGAACAGTGTCATTTTTAGTATAGAATTATTTGTAAAAAAAAAGGCCACTATACCACAACCTCTTCACTAATAATCAGCATCAATTATGTAGGTTATTGGTTGTGAATGGCTGCTTGGCTAAAGCAGTCATAATGGGATCAATCTTGATGACAAGAAGTTCTAGATCTATCAAAGACTGCACCAACAATAGAACAACTAAAATATTCAAAACCTCTTGCATCAACCTATACATGTACATGTCATGACGTCATTTGAGCTGTGATGCTTCCTCATTTGCATGGACATTCTTGAATACTCTGCTTAATTGTTCATATCCCACCTCTCTATAAATGTACAGGAGTGGAAAAACACTTTCATTAGGAGTAAGCTTAGATACAATGTAGGCATCACATTGTTTTTGGATAGAATTGTTGCACAAAAGTCGATTCCACTCTCATAAGAGTAATTAAATTTCTGATTCAAAACTTAAACAAAGTGATCACAATACATGTATGACTCTTACAAGAGTGGATTTCAATTAATCTGCATTATGAAAGTCATTATGAAAATGATTATGTGGCTCCACCTCGGGAGAAGCTCGTTCTAGGAAGAGATTATTGGTGGGGCCACTCCCAGCTGATATCGTACCCACAAGGGAACTTCAAATTACTACCTTAGATTGGTTTTTATTTTGGTTTCTTGGTGGGAATTCATCTATAAAATGAAAAGATTTCAATATGATCCCTAAACAGTGGATTTCAGCTAATGTACATTAGAAGAGTGATATAATCACTCATGTAGCTGCACATGAGAAGAAGATCATTCTAGGAAAAGCTCATTCTGAGAACCCACTCCCAGAGGATATCGCACTTGTCCCTCCAAGTGCAGTATTCCCTGGACAGCCCTGACAGATGGCTAATCTTTTAAAATGTATTAATTCCAATCACTGAGCTCAGACAAAGAGCAAGAGATTCCGACAAGTACACTCTCCCGGAGGATATTGCACTGGTCTGTCAAAGAGCAGTATTACTTGGACAACCCTGATAGATGGCCAATCTTTTAAAATGTATTAATTCCCATCACTGAGCTCAGAAAGAGAGCAAGAGATTCCAGCAAGTACAGTCTCCCAGATGATACTGCACTGCTCTGTCGAAGTGCAGTATTCCTTGGACAACTCTGACAGATGGCTAATCTTTTAAAATGTATTAATTCCCATCACTGAGCTCAGAAAGAGAGCAGATTCCAGCAAGTACAGTCTCCCAGAGGATACTGCACTGCTCTGTCGAAGTGCAGTATTCCTTGGACAGCCCTGACAGATGGCCAATACCCTTAATGCAGTCATTCCCAATCATTGAGAGAGCATAGTGATCATGACATTCAAACACGTCAAGGCTGATGGATCGTCCAACATGTGTGCAATCGCGTGATTAAAGATCATTCTCAGAAACATGCATCTTCCCCTAAGTTTTTTTAATGCAGTCGTTCCCAATCATCGAGAGAACATAGTGATCATGACATTCAAACACGTCAAGGCTGATGGATCGTCCAACATGTGTGCAATCACGTGATTAAAGATCATTCTCAGAAACAAGCACCTCCCCCAAAGTTGTTAAGTGGTCCATCAAATAGTGTGTTTGGGTGCTAAACACCTAGCTGACAGCACGTACATTCATCTCCTGCTTGTCCTCTTCAGCATGATAAAAGCAAGTAAATCTTGTATAAGAATTCATGTGGTCTTCTTTTGGAAACCAGTTTTAGGCGCTTAAGGTCTTTCAACCAGGTTTTCAGTTCCCCCTTTTTACAAGGTTAATCATTGCATACCTCATAAAATTCACTGAATGTTCTGACTGGTAACTATGGGAGCTAACCTCCTGGAGAAGACAACACAACTATCTGATTGAAACTTGCATTAGAAAAGAGACTCTTTATCATTATTCTTTTTCATCCTCATCACCATCCCATCCAGCATGATATCTCTCCTCCTCTTCCTTGTTCTCCTCCTCCTTTTCCTCCTCCTCCTCTCCTCCTAATCATTATCATCATCATCACTATCAACATCTTCATTATTACCATCAATACCATCAACATAATTAACATCATATCAACTATCACTAGCATCGTCATCATCATCATCATCATCATCATCATCATCACCACCACCACCATCATCATCATCATTATCACCACCACTATCACGATCATCATCATCACCATCGCCACCATGGTCATCATCATCATCACCCCCACTACTACCACCCCCACCACCATAATAACCATCACCACCACCACCATCTGTACCACCACCACCACCATCATCACCACCATCACCACCACTATCACGATAATCATCATCATCACCACCACCACCATCATCACCACCATCACCACCACTATCACGATAATCATCATCACCATCGCCACCACGGTCATCGTCATCATCACCCCCACTACTACCACCACCACCACCATAATAACCATCATCATCATAACCACCACCACCACTACCATAATAACCATCATCATCATAACCACCACCATCACTACCATAATAACCACCATCACCATCTGCACCACCACCACCACCATCATCACCACCACCACCACCACCATCATCAAACTTACCATTGCTTGTATTCATCAGGAAGATGAGGCACTGAGTCTCCTGCTGTAGCTGTTAATTCTAGTGCAGCCTTGAGCTTTTTGAACATGCCTTCAATGTTATTGCGATAGCTCAGGAGAGCCTTTACATTGCCAAGTTGATTTACAGATTGCTGCAGGAGAAAAGAAAAGTTTCTAAAAACTTGCTTGGAAGCTTCAAATTTGGTGTCAAATAAATTTCCATTCAATCTAGTATGCCACAATCATATTCAATTATATTATGTAACAAACTTATTATGTAAAGGGAACCTTAATTACAAGCATAATGCTTCCAAGGTTTCCTCCTCATTACTACAGATTATTGTTAGCATCATTTGTATTTAATGACTTACCATTAAATCGTTTTTATTACTGTTGTATCTATTGAATATTATGTACATGTTTTGTTACCTTGTCTATGCCTTACTTTGTAAATTCTTTTCATATGAAGTTAATGTGGAAATAAACCTAAATAACAAAAATAAAAATACAATTTAAATCAGTAATTTAAGTTCATTTTAATTCAGTTTGGTACACTCCAGCTAAATACATTTGGTTCAGTTTAGATCAATTCTTTATTATTCAATTGAGCCAAATTAAAAAGCATTCAGTTCTGCTCTGTTTCCCACATTCAGAAGTCAGATCAATCCAGGTCTTTTCAGTTCAAATGAATTTAACTGGACACGATGACCCAATGTTTCGAAGTAAGTAAGCCAATCGGGCTGGTTCAGTTCAATTCAGAATGGAACAGAAATATTTGTAACAATAAATAAAAATACTCACATATAGGAGAGCCACTTGATGTGCGATGTACTTGTGGTTGGTCAGGGTCTGTACATCATGATGAAGCTGTTTGCAGAGTGTGTTGACCTGGTTGACAACTGCTAGATGTGACAAGTAACCTGTAAATAGGACACAAATGACATCAAAAGATCATGTACTTCAGTCTGTTCTATGAACAAATTAATGAAGGACAATTTCATAGTAATTAATAATAATACCCGGTATTCTTTACCCCATCAAGGTGCAAAATTTGGTCCGGAAGAAAGAAATTTGTTCTTAGGAATATTTTCCTTGATGTGCTGCAATGTATGTCTTTCCAGTCAAGTTGCAAGTATGACCACATGTTTGGTATACAAATAATGCATATGTTTGGCATTTGAATTGTCATTGCATAGGTTTGGTATAAAAAAAAAGATTCACGTTTAGTAAAATTGTAGGTCTCCTTAAAGCCTGTCTGCACTAGTTTGGCCAGGAGGGATTAGACCACCCAGCGTGGTCACTGACAGGTGGCTATTTCATCAACTCAGCTCTAAATTGACATAAGAAAAAGAGGATCATGGGGGACCAACAGGCACCGCTTAGGCATTGTTTTCTATATAGAGGGAGCAAGTAGCTACAAGTAGTGCATTGGGGATTTAAAAAATTACCAAACAGAGATGACCTACAAGCAAGAGGGCGCTATAACTTACCATCCATAGGAGAAACCTTGGGAGCTTGGGACTTCCCCCGCAGGCCATCAAGATAATGGGCTGACCGAGGATACAGGGTTCCAAGTCCTGTTTTCGAGAGGTAGTCCTGGAAAGACACAGCAGAGAAGAAACATGAAATTTAACAAAATTGTCATCATTTATATATTAAGCATATCACTAGACAATTTTGACACCGAATTGTTCATTTCTGGGAGTTTCTTACTTATGATTTATAGCTCTGCAACGTGCAAAGCATGTTAGTGATTGTGACTAACACCTTATAAATAACTGTACATTAACTTTGGTAAAAATAGATTTGATTGGTCATGTATGAAAAGAATTATGGACAGCACATGCAGGATTTTTTTTTTTTTAGTCTCATTGGTACATGTGATTAGGCTAAAAGATAGTGTTTTCCCAAATCCTGGATTAGACTGGGTGCTTAGTAATTTTACATGTATGAAACTGCACAGTCAAAATAAAGGTGCCGCAACAAATTATGATAATGTTGACCTCACGTTACAGTTGAAATAGATAAGGTGCTGAAAAACAAGAGCATCATATCAGTCTTTTATCAGAAAGCAGCCTTATATAATAATAATAATAATAATTATCTTTTAAAGTCCACTCCAAATTTTGTTTATTAAACCGAAAATAGAAATTCTTTTTGCCCAATTGATCGTGAGCCCGGCAGCCACTGAGCAGCGCCAGATCAACGTTGCTCTATCCCTTTTAATGTTGAACGCCAAACAAGGTAGCAGCAACTCCCGTCTTTTAACGCCAATTGGTATGACGCGGCCGGGGTTTGAACCCACTACCTCCAGGTTGTGAGGCAGATGCTCTACTAACTGCGCCAACACACCGGTATGGTCATATTGAGTGATTTTTTTCTTTTCTCGGATGAATTATAAGAAAGAGTACCGTAAATGCTACAGAAATCTTTTCATAGAAACACCCTCCGGCATCATTTTCTGAGAGATCGGCATACTACAATTAGAATTTATTCTTAGAAATATTCTATTTCCGCTGGTTAACATTTACCTGTTACCTAAATTTGTTTGACAAGGTCACATGTAGCTTATACCTCCACGATTGAGAAACGCCTCGGGACAGGTGTACATTTCATGTAGTTTACACAAAATGGGCGCTAAATAGAACCCTGAGAAGACATATGACTTGATATAAGTGACAATGACATGGCCTGGAGCTTATACCATCTGATAAAATTAAGCGTTAGGAAAATTAAGGTGACTCACAAACAAAATAAGAGCTTAAATAGAAGCATCAGAAGACATACAGTTTGTATGGCTTGATACAATTGTCAATCATGCAGCCCGGAGCTTACTCTATCTGACAAAATTCAGCGTTAGGGCCACAGGATGCGGCTCACAGACTGGACAATCGAGTTGCCGCGGGCAACACTTTAGTTTTCACCATCGATGATGTCATGGACAAGGGGTTTGGCAAATCAGCCCGGAGTTAGCATACAAATGAACTCTGCGTAAACCTTGGCTTTTACCACAGTTCATCATTGTCATCATTTCGGACCATGGAAGGAGACTTGATTTGCTATCTGTCTCCTTTTCTCTTATTTTTTCTGACCCCTGTTCACCCTTGCTTTCTTTTTTAGTCTCCACCTCTATCTCTCTTTCTCTCTATCCTTCCTTTCCATCTCTCTCTCTCTCTCTCTCTCTCTCTCTCTCTCTCTTTCTTTCTTTCTTTCTTTCTTTCTTTTTTCTTTCTTTCTTTCTTTCCTACTTTCTTTCTTTCTTTCTTTCTTTCTTTCTTTCTTTCTCTCTCTCTCTCTCTCTCTCTCTCTCTCTTTGCTTTCTCTCTCTCATTCTCTTTGCTGGAGTTCTAATCTCCCCCCCCCCCCCTCCTCCACCCCCCCTCTCTCTCTCTCTCTCTCTCTCTCTCTCACTCACACACACACACATTTTTCTCCCCTTTTGAAAGGGCAAAGACCTGCAAACACACAGCAGTGTGAACATTTCCAAGCACATTACCATTCTGGTAAAGCCATCCACATTCCAAAACAGGAAACAAATATAATGTCAAGAGTCACAGTACCTCCGGCACGTTATTATCACTCTCTAAAGAAACAACAATAGCCACATCTGCTCTAAGCTTTCTGTATCTTCAAGAAGTTGGTTTTGGCAACTACAAGACTGCATGATAAACACAGGAACATCCCTTTACTGCTATTATGTAAAAATGTGTAGAACAGGTGAATATGCATGTGACACCTGTTCTACATATTTTTACATAATAGCAGTGAAGGGATGTTTCTTTGTCTACCTGAGGAACTGTATATTTTGTCCGCTTTCTTTGTCAGTCATATTCATAGTGTATGCTCCATAGAGTAAAGAGTCTTCACAAAATTTGTTTTCATGAGGGTTTTCTCAATTGTCCTACCCTATCAAAACTTTTCAAAATACATGTTCGTAAAATATATGGCAGCTAACAAATATTTTCAATTTTAATCAGAACTAAATCTTCTTTAGACTACATACAGCGTAGCTATTCAAGGACATTGCACATTATTTGCATGTCTTAACAAATCCACAGTAACACACTACAGTCAATGCAGAATCAATTAGGGAATTCCCCATAGATGCTGCACAGTGCACACAAGATGGCGCAAGACACCCAAAATTTTCTGCCATGGCCTTTGAATGTGTACAAGTGTATGAGTGATGTGATTGAAGAAGGTTCAAAATTTCAACAAAAAACAGGAATTGAATTGGGTGAGGAGTTTATATGCAAGTGCTATTAAAAGTGTTTTTTTTTAATTTTTTTTTATCAATTTCAAGACATATATGCACAATGGGAAACACTAATACTTAAACTTGGTCATGTTGAACGGGGTACCATTAATGGACACACATTATCAGACATCAATTTCAAAGCATTTCCTTACCTTTAAATGTAAGATATGCAGTAGCAGTGAAAAAAAATGCACATGCTATATCTAAAGGGGAAGTTCACCCTGATATTACGTTGCTTAGTTTTAATAGAATCAGAAAAAGGAGAGGAACAGGCCAGTGAAAGATTGAGCAAAATCTTTTTAAAATAAGAAAGTTAAATTTGTTTATGTTGTGACACAAATTTGCAACACTGTGAGGTATCTTGCGAGGTCTCCTCCCATTCGTCTTTAAAAAAAAAAATCAAACCTTTTTGTTTTCACTCAAGAAAATTTTCAAATTAAAATTCACCCTAAATTTAATTATTGCAAATATGTTTTTATACAACTCCTGTATGAAACAAATATTTTCTGAGATCATAAATAAGAAAATTAGAGTTTATAAAATTGTATGTACATAGCAAACTGGAAAAAAACTCGCAAGATATGTCACAGTGTTGCCAATTTGTGTTTCACTGATAACATGAAAAATCATCACTTTCCTTCATTCAATCAGACATTGCTCAAACTGTCACTAATTTGTTTTTCTTGTTTTTCTGCTTTCATCAAAACCAACTTAATATCAGGTTGGACTTCCTCTTTAAAGCAATGTTTATGTCATTAAACTTTTGTATGGTAAAGTCTACACTATAACGTCATTCAAATTTCCCTAGGGACATTTTCACTTTGTCCAGAAGTGAGCGTAACTTTGGTATTGTCTTTTCCCTGTAGATACGGAACATCTGTCTTCTCACTGCTTACAAATCTAATCAAGCATAAATTCAAAATTTGACCACTATAAGCTATAAGAGGTAATGGATGGAATTAATGTGAAAACATGTTGATTTTCAACCATTTGTTGTGATAAAAGCATTTGTTATGATAAGACTGAAGTCTCTTCTTCAAGAAAAATCAACATAAACTTAGGTCTGCAGAAAAGAACCCCAAAAGGCTCGCATCCACGCCCAAGCACTCAGAAATTTGTCGGGTGGAATGATGGAGATTTTAGGCTGTGTTCATAAAATATTTCTTTAGCTCAGTATAATAGTTTTGAAAGAAATTTAATACAAAACATGTATAGTCTCATGAAATTTTTCACTGGGAGTAAAACGATACTACGTTATTCACTGATGATCAATTTCACTGGAAAAAAGCTAATTTGCCAATATCATTTTCTAAAAATATATAAACAAATCTCTAAAATATATTTATAGCAAGAACCCTGTATTTACAGGTTCTGAACTTAATTGGTTACATCAAGGTATTGGAAAGAATATGTTTATGAAATATTTACAACAAATATATTAGGCTTCAGTACAGTCAAAAGACAAATTACTGTCTGCCCTATAAACTATCCAACAGTACGAAGAGGGATGTGAAAATGTTTAATATCAGGGATAGTGATCAGTGTCTCTGGCTCCTGATTCTGGCTTCAAAAGAGTTTTATGAATACAGCCTTTGAGGGCAAGCCCATGTCTCTCTCTCTCTCTCTCTCTCTCTCTGTCTCTTTCTCTCTTTCTCTCTCTCTCTCTCTCTCTCTCTCTCTCTCTCTCTCTCTCTCTTTCTCTCTCTCTCTCTCATCCTACGCTCAGACTTAGTGTGTTTCTGCTTTGATGCATTATTCTTTGGCAGAGGAGAAGCGATTTGTGTGTAAGAGGAAACCTTTCCTCAAAAGCTGGATTAGTCTCTCAAAATTGCCAATGCCAGGAGCAAAAATAGAAACAGAGTTTATTCAGGACTTGGGGGAAACATAGGTGCCTAAAATATAACCACTTTGGCAACACGGAGAGAAAGAGAAAGAGAAAGAGAGAGAGAACAAGAAAAGAATGGGAGAATATTAAGATGTTTGAGAGATAGGAATTGGAGGGAAAGGATGTTGTGGGGAGAGGTAAAAAGAGACATTATACAGACAGAGAAAAAGAGAGAGGTATAAAATGAGAGAGAGAAATGAAGAGAAAAATAAAATCCAAAAATAGATTAGAGGGACAGATTGAGACAGGGAGACAAAAAGAACAGTGGAAAAGACAGAAAGTGCATAGGTTCTAGGAGGGGAGGGGAGAAGAGAAGCAGTGAAGAGAGAAAGAGAGAGACAGAGAGAGACACATAGAAAGAGAGGGGGCAGAGAGAGAGAGCGGAAGAGAGAGAGAGAGAGAGGGTAGGGAGGGGGGGGGGGTAGAAAAGGCAAAGGATAGACACACTTTGTAAATA